CGACCAAAAATGCTGTCTCAGTGTGGACAGAAGGCCAAAACAGAGAAAACGTATTAGTGTGGAAGCACGGAGACAAGAGGAACTAACCATGGGACACAGGGAAGGGACTTTATATATAACACAAGCAGAAAACAATAAAGAGAAACAATACACCAAATAATTTAACTTAAACTAGGATTACACATATGAATTCAATTCAGTTTCATTTTCAGAACAGTATATAAAGCACCAATTCACTGTCACCTCGAGATTTATATTGTGTAATATTACAAAGAGTTAATATGGCAGTGTGTTTTTGGTGCTCTTTTCACTGCAGTCAGTATTCTGACATCACCATAAAAGAGTAATGACACAACACAATTCTGCTGTGTAAACACACAACTGTGGCTTGACTTGCCACTTGTCACTGACATTATGGAATCTGTGTCTTGAAGAAGAGCTCTGAAAACGACTTGGCCGCAGCACGGTGTCTATGTGTGGAAATGGCTCTGCCAGATGTGTCATTGTGGATGTGGGTCAGAAAGGGAGTCAGACAGTGTTGAGGGACGCTGTGTTTTTTGTCTCTTTTTAAACAAGTGGCTGCCTGCCTGCCACCCAAATGCTGCTCCTCCAGATCCTATTAGACAAGCCTAGTGTGGCAGCCTGCCTGCAGTCTGCAGTGATTACTGCTGGCACAGGATTGCTTGAATGAGACGAGGGAAAATATATGACCTGCGTTCTCTTGCAAGTAAATGACCTATTAACCCCAATACACATTACAAAGTAAACATTTTCTGGTGGCAACAGGAAGACTTTGTTTTCTCCTCAATCAGGTTCATGTTTTATAAGTAACCTATATCTCATGCAGTTATTAGTACTGTTGCCTCATAGCAAGAAAGCACCGTCTTGATGCACGTTCCAGATACCTCGGATGTGGGAGCCAGGGAGCCAGGAAAACAGGATTCGTTTTCTTAGCAAGATTTAGGTATCACTAGCAATGCAGCATAATACTCATTTTTGTGCTTTAAAAAGGCATTCATGTAAAGAGCCTGATCAGTGTATGGCTTATTTACGGTGTTAAAAATACACAACAGTGGCAGTACAGATTAAATGTTCACAGTTTTACTGCTGTTTACCTTCAGTGCCGCCATTTTGGATCACTAACTTGGGGTATGTTGGTCTGCTCTAACTTTCTGAGTGGGAAATCTGATGAAGGGGTGTTCAAAAAAAAATCCTACTGGGAACTCCTAATTTCCGACTTCTGACTTATTCAAGAACACACTGTGACACCTGTGGAAAACAGGCTTTATTTCAAGGGACTCGTGTGCTTTTAATGACATGCTGAAAGTCACATGAGCATCTTTTCCAAACTAATTTCTGCAGGAAAAAGGAATCCAAAGGTGCTGTGAGCATCATTTCTCCTTAAACACCATTGAGACCATTTTTTTTCCACATAAAGACTACAATGACTTTCTAAAATGTTTTCTAGAAAAGATTAATTGCAGCAGCAAAAATATAACTCCCACATATAGTCCCTTTAATTCATAGTCCTCCACATTCCACCATTATGGAGTTTTTTCACCTGTTTCTTTGGAGGACATTTTCTGAAATACACAAATGAAACTCTCAACAAGACCACCTGATATTTTACCCAAATCTCTGTTACATGTTTTTTAAAATATGAGACAAAGGAGACAGAGGGACCTCTGGAAAAGTGACCCCGTGAAAACAGAATTAGTGAGCCATTGCAGTTCAAGGACAGTCCTTTGTTAGGACATTAAAGAAGTGCATACTTAGATGTACCATGTAGTAACCCTGGTGCCATCTTGTCCTAGCATTAGTATGTTTGAAATGTTTTTAATTAGATAATTAGTTAATTAGATGGACTGTAATTATTAACTGAAGAGAGAAAAACTCATATCAGCATTAGAAGGTTTAACTGTTCTTTTGCGAGCTGCATCGATGCAGCTCTCAAATGGTGATGGCTGTGCAGTGTGGCTGATGTTGTGATGCTAAAAAGTGACATTGGCAGCACTTTAGGAGTGAAATGCCAGGCAGGTCAGCGAACACGGGGAGCCAGGACTTCTCAGTGGGAGAATGTCAATGTCAGCAGGCGAGGGCTCTGATTGGCAACCCAGCTTCTCTCATATCATGTCCTGAAGGTTTCAAACACAAGGCCACGTTACAAGAAAAAACTTGTCTCTTAAATGAGATTAGTATCTAACAGATGTTAAGCTTCAAAGAAGGGTTCTTTGCTTTCTGAGTAAAAGGATGGATCTAAACAAAGCATGATTCTAGATGCTTCTCTGCTTCTTTAGGATTTTCTGCATTATTATGCGTATTATTGTAGCGTCTTTACCTTACAGTGGAAGCAGCTTGAGATAACTGCTGATTTGGCATTGTAGGTATAAATAAAACGGTTACCAGTAGTTACTGGTTGTGACTATCTGTGATGAACATGTCAACCCAGCATGTCCCAGTCCAACAGAAGACATATTTGACTAAATGTCTCCTGATCCAGAAAGGCTTGCACTAGTGTGGGGGGTGGGAAAAGAGCCACTCAATACATCCATGACACTGTGCCACAATGACACTGATGACTATGTTGTTCATGCATTGTTTTTTTGGTGTTTGTGTGTGTGTACATGTTTAGACATCTTTGTGAGGACAGAAAATTGGCATGCTACTGTACTTGTGGGGACCAACAGTCTCTTATGGGGACAAAATGCTGAGGCTCAAAATGTGGTGTTAGTGTCAGGGTTGTAATTAGGTTACGGCCAGGTTTAGGCTGAGGGTTAAATGTAACCAGTTTTCGTGACATGTCCTCACTAAGATGGTAAATGGACTGGTTCTTATACAACTAATTCATTCACCCAATCACACCAGCACTTTTTCTAAGCTGTTAGTGCCTATCTAACATTCACACACATTCACACTCCAACAGATCGGAGAGCAACATGGGGTTAGTATCTTGCCCACGGATATTTGGCATGCAGACTGGGGAAGCCAGGAATCGAACCACCAACCTCCCAATCAGCCGCTGACCTGCTCTACCTCTACAGCCACCCCAAGATATGAAAATGAGTGTGTGTGTGTGTCAGAAGCCACAGCAAGAGCTGACACAAACCAAAGTCGTCAATTAGAATGTAGTTTTTAACAGTTTGACAGGTTTGTTATTAGAAGTGAGAGAAGCTGGTGCAGTGACAGAAAATGAATACTGCTAAGTTACAGTCATCACGTTTGTAGGTAAGCTGTGGCAGCATCAAAGTACTCGCTCAGGTTTAATGGCTCACATCAGGTTAAATTATAGATCGAAGCGTTTTAGCACTGAAGTCTCTAAAAATCTAAAGATCTAAAAGGATGGAACGTGGTTTTGGTAAGGTTTTTAATGCTTGGTTGTTAACAGTTTATTCACAATCACCTAGTTTTACTCCATGTTGGATGGTTAAAAAAGTGAAGTCAAGACGTCTAAAAAGTGGTGTGAAGCCAAACCAGCTGCTGTCAGAGAGTGTGTGCTACAAACTGTTGGGATGCCTGCTTGGTAAACAACGATGTGTTTTCTATTACAAAGAAGATGCAACATGTGGGAGCGAAAGTTTTTAAAGGCTTTCTGTTCTTTGGGGATCCTCTTTGAAAGAGTGTGCTATTGTTAACTGAGACTAGACTGAAGCTTGACAAGCTTATTCTCATAGCTCTGCCTATCTATTGACATTTAGCCTGCTACCATCTTGGGCTCATGGTGGAAAAGAATTATATTACATAGCTATTTAAATGTTGTTGATTGCTTTCCAGGCAAATTGAATGAACAGCATTATGTGTATGGCTTTTTAGGACTACTCGTATTTGTGAATCTTTTATTAGGTTTTCTTGCATCTTGGTACAAACTGAAAGTTCCAGGTTTATCTGGTATCGCTACTCAGTCTGCTTCCCTAGTTAAGGGAGAAAAATGTCCTCCAAAAAAGGCAAAAACCGTAGGATAAAATCATCTGCGTGGGGTACTCGTATGGTTGTTTTATAGCACTACAAGCTGCCACAGTGTGCTGACAGGCGAGGGCTGTTTTACTGATGCCCACACATGCATGTGAACATACTGTATTCAGACACGAACAGAACAGTGTGAACATGCGAGGATGTGTGTGCTCCCCGTAGCCACCCTCATCATCCTGACAGCTCCAAGTCCTCAAGAGGGCAATGTTTCAATCTGTCATCTCCCACATCTCAGCTCTTTATCAAACGCTGTTTGTTATCACAGGCGGTTCTCAGTAAAGTGTCAGGTTGTTAGACGGAAATTGGGTTGTAATCCCGGCAATGATTTGACACACAAGTGTGGCTCTTCGTGTGTGTGTGTGAGATTCATTTTTCTTCCTGCAGGAACAAAATGATGAAGGAAATAGCACGTCTCTAGTGTATGTCCTGCTGTCAGTGTGGTAAAAACCCTGTGTTACACGATCTTAGTTCACTTCAGAATGTATTTAGCTTTTAATTGTTGTCTTTTTCTTTTTACAAAAACCTGTTTGGTTTCAGATATGTATGCAGTAATATTTCCACTGGAATTAAAGTTTATTTGGATAAATCTTATAGAAGAACTTTACTGAGTCTGTGACAGTTGTAGGCATTTTCACGATATTGTGCAGTTACAGTCAGCCAATTAAGGCATTTGTGTATTGTTGTAATATTTCTTCTACACCCACAAACAAAGAAACATTCACGTGCCTCTATTTTGTAGCATTAGCAGTTTCTTAATCTGACCATAGTTACATTCTTGAAAGCAGAGTTCTCTAAAAGGTGATACTAACATACGACTGCACATATATACAGTACACAGAGTGCACTCTGCTTCTGTTGTAAGAGCCGTCCTTTTTACAGTGCTGAGAGAGAGTTTGAAAGAAAGGACAGCCTTAATGCTTTTTAGAACACGACTATGAACACATGAAATATTTTGTCATGCTGTTAAACTTATCATGAACCATTTGGCCTTGCAGCACTGTGATGCTTCTGTCTTACACACGTTTTTGTTGCAGGAACCTGTTAGACATGGACACCTTCTCCAAGTCAGATCCAGGTAACTGCCTCCTCTCTCACACTGATTCTTCACATTCATCATTCATCTGTGTAATTACTCCTCTGATATGATTTTGTATTCTCTGCTTGGAAGTCTTCTGTCTCGTGCAGTGTTTATTAAATCACTACCTTTTGCATGTTAATTCCACACTTAGAGCATCAGTGAGCAGTAACACAGTGACTGTCTCCCACAGCGCTTACACACGCAGAATAGCAACTGACTGAATGAAAACCTGCATCTTGGGATCGAATGGGAAGGACTCTTAATTAAGTTGGTCCTCATTAAGAGTGACTAATCATTGGAGCCTGATTGACACTTTGCAGTTGCTGGGCCCACACATTGAATGTGATTATATTATAGTAACTTTTAGAAACAGCAGCTGCATCTGCAACTTAATGTAACAAAAGAATGGAGGAAAAAAAGCAAAATGCACAAATGCCAAAAAACTAATTGAAAATGAAAGGCCTCACTGGATCTGCTTATCTGTCAATGCACCTTTTCAATCATTGTTTAAGTCAGTCACTCAAGTCAGCAGCTTGAGCGTTCCCTAGTTTATCCTTCTGACTCTAGTAATGACCACAGTTTACCAAATAAACATAGTTTCCTATCAACTTCCATAAAATCTAAAGTCCTGCACCCAGAGAAGTCACCCCTTAGTCAAAGAACACATGTTTAAGGCACACATTTTACTTTTTAGACCTGGATGATACATCATTCTTTGATTATGGAGTTTACAGTCAAAAATAAAGAGATCCTGACTGTTTTCTATGCAGACACACGTAGCTTGTAACTTTTTTTTTGCCATCATGCTGGTAGAGGTTGGTCTTGGTTTCATTTGTTCAAAGAAAGCTTGTTTGACCGCATGTTGTCTGTTCAAAGACCGCAGGTCTTTTATCTGCTTAACTGATAATATTCACAACATCTACAGTCTTGACATAATGAAGAAATTGCCCACACCTGTCTGTGAGTAAACTGTCCAATTACTTTTGTTCCCTTTAAAAAAGAGGGTGGCACATGTTAAGTAGCTGAAACTCCTAAACCCTTCATCCACTTTGAATGTGGATCCCCTCAAATGAAAGTTGAGAGTCTGCACATTATGTCCATAATATAACTATAACTGGAACATGTTTCAGTAAACAGGCAGTGTACGCAGTATGCAGTACAGTCTAATGAAAGACTGATGACTTATAAACACAGATCTGCATGCATTAGTAAACTACAGCCAAGCACATGGTTAAATGTTAGACTAGCTTTGACAACATCATACAAATATTTGTCTGATGAGTGTAATCAGCTATTACACGTTCCTGATATATCTTTGCTTTGGTAAATGGACTGATTCTTATATATATTATATATATTACAACATGCCACATTCAACCAATCACACCCAGTCTCTTCCTTCTGTGCTTTTAAGTGCTTACTAACTAACATTCATACGCTGATGGATGCATTGGAGATCAACTTGGAGTTAGTATCTTGCCCAAGGATACTTGGCATGCAGACTGGAGGAGCCAGGGATCGAACCACCGACCATCCGATCAAATAATAATGAAATAAAATAAACATAAGCAATAATTACGTAAGTTGTAGATGCTATGTTTTCTTTCTGTTAGGGTATAAATGAAAATCATAAATCTCAACCATCAATACAACCACTCTGACCATTCAGAAAATGTTCTTAAAATGTGGAAGAGTGTCACTCCATTGTGCTACAGCAGCACGACAGCATCAAGGTTTACTCTAAGCACCCAGATTTAAACCCACTTAGCGGGCTGCAACTTAAATTTTGACCTATTTAATGTTATTTACTAGGTACGTAAAAAGCAGACAGGACTCTTATTCACGAGTCAATGTTTCATCTTTACTTGAGTTGTCAAGAACAAAACAGGGAAAAAGGTGATAGAAAAAGCAAGGCTATACTGAGCAACAGTTGAGTAGAAAATCAATTTCAAAGGCTTGGAAGGAGAGAAGAAAAGTGCTGACGAGATGCAGCATGTAAGACAAAAAGGAACCTTGGAGTGAAAAGACGCAGACGACATATTTCGTAATATCATTTTTTATTGTCAGTTGCATTGAAGTGTTATGGCTGATGACTCATCAGACTGAAGAGGACACAAGGAAAAACAACTTGGCTTATTAAGTTGCCAAAAACCCCCCCAACAAAAAACAATCACTACTTGCTGTTGATTGGATTAAACCAATAAGTGGCCTTTCAATCAAACATGGGTCGAAGCATAACATTTTTATTAAAACAGAGAAATTTTGAGTGTTATTAGTTTTTCCTCCTGTGAGAGTTCCACTCACTTCTGTTGTTGAATCTAAGACAGAAATAATTAAATTCAGTTCAATTCAGTTTTATTTATTTAGTGCCACTTCACAACCTCAGAGCACATGAAAAGCAAGGACCCTACGATACTGGAGGGAAAACCCCAACAGTACTTGACGACAGTGGGAAGGAAGTTCCTTTTAACGGGAAAATACCTCTGCCAGAACCAGGCTCAGTGAGGAAGCTGAGGGATGAAGGGAAAGAGAAAAGGAAAAATGAGAGGACAGTGAGACCAAGATAAAACAAAACTATGGAGGAGAGAAGAGAAGAGCCGAGTTGTTGGCATCCCATCAAGGTACCGCACTGAGTTCCCGAGGGTGACCCAATCTTTCACAAATGTTTGCAGAAGCAGCAGTCTGCGTGCCTGGGTTAATTTATACACCTGTGGCCATAAAAGTAATTGGAAAGCACCTGAATTCAGTGATTTGGATGGATTCTGGTAGTATATTGTGGGTCCATTGGGAATCCTACTTCATGTGGAGGGTCATAGCATAGCAGGGGTGCTGGAGCCTATCCCAGCTGTCATAGGACGAGAGGCGGGGTACACCCTGGACAGGTCGCCAGTCTGTTGCAGAGTTTCAACTCATGTTGAATCTGAAATCGTTAGCTTACGGGAAGAACTGCAGTATTGCAGAGAATTCTTCACTTTTTCCAACCTTGCATCATTGCTTGAAAACATATGCTGTCAATTTGTCTGACTAGCCAAATCATATGGTAAATGGCCTGCATTTGTATAGCGCTTTTGTAGTCCCTAAGGACCCCAAAGCGCTTCACACTACATTCAGTCATTCACAGCAAGCTACATTGTAGCCACAGCTGCCCTGGGGCACACTGACAGAGGCGAGGCTGCCGGACACTGGCGCCACCGGGCCCTCTGACCACCACCAGTAGGCAAACATGGGGTTAGTATCTTGCCCAAGGATATTTGGCATGCAGTCAGGATGCAGCCTGGGATCGAACCACCGACCTTCTGATTAGTGGCTGACCTGCTCTGCCACCTGAGCTACAGCCAATCATATAGTTGAGATTGCTGAGCAGACCCTGTTGACTGTGTCCTATAGATACAATATATTAATCAAGAGAAATAATGAAGCACTGATGTGCACCCTCTTCCTCAAATTAACAGTGGAACAGCTCAAACTGCCTTAGTGGACATTTTGGCACTTTTAAGATAAAATCAACTTTTAGTGCTTCTTCCTTGTTATATGAAATTTTGTAGCTTTCAGTTGAGGTTTGTTTGATGTAACATCTCCTAAGACTGCGAAGTGTTGTGTTTACATGCAACCTGACAGTACCAGAGCAGTCTCACTGTTCCCTAACGAACTCTCACGAGTCCCGATAGAAGCCTAATTATCTAATGTGAGATTGTAGATTTGGATCTCTTTCATCAACACAGATTAGAGAATTTTTCCCATCTTGTTTAGACTCAGTAATTACCACAAAGCTCCATGAAGCCAAAGAACCTCAGGTAAACTCTTTGATTTGTGCTAAATGTTGATTCATATGCAAGAAAGAAAATTTAAATGTCATCTGGGATCAACTGTTCTGAACAGGCTGAGCATTTGTCTCGTGTATCATTTTAGAAAGTCAGTGAGAGGAAGGCAGAAAAAAGGTTGCAGGGAGGATTTATTATAATGCATGAATTGAGAAGCAACATATAAATGGGATAATTGACAGAATCTTTATGTCATTGTTTTAATGTTGAAATCATCAGTTAAAGGTACTATCCATTGACTAATCATTTACATTATGATGTGTAACCACAGTGTATATTATTGTACTGAACGACACTGATTTTGAAGGCAAAGAATCAAATACGGTCTCTCCACAGGCCAGGGCTCCTTTACTGACACAACCCATAGATTAGTCTTTGCTCCTGTGCTGGGTGGGGGTGGAGGGTCGTGCTGGAAGGTAATGATTGTGTCAGATGGGGTCCTGGACTTCAAACTCTTCCTCCCCACTGAGGAAAAGCTAGACTGACAGACCACAATGCCCCCTCAGCTCTTTCATGTCCCTGGTTAGATCCCTCTATCTGACCCGGTCCTCAAACCACAAAAGGACAGTGCAGGTCAGTGTAGACTCATAATGTCACAAAGAACTGGCAGCTAGTGATGAAATGATTGAACCTAATCCACACTTGAACTACTAATATATTTTAATGCTTCTGAGTGGCTGCGAGTAAACAGCTAGTTCCTCATCCATAAATAATTAGAACGAAATTTTGCATGTAACAGGTGAAATTTCCTGTTTATAGACTATAAACATCTTACTGACAACTCAAGCAACGTTTTTAACCAAACATTCATATAGTGCTACAAGTAGCCACATTGGAAACACCAGTCAACATGTATGCCTTTGGACTGAGGGAGGAAGCCTGAATACATGGAAAACATGCAGGCACAGGAAAGAGAGAAGGGCTCAAGCCAGGATTCAAACCTGGGACAGTGCTAACAGTTATGCTACCATGCTGTCCGTGCTTGGACAAAAATTAATGACAGTAATCACAAGTAAGATATCGTATTTTTTATAGTACTTTTCTGAGTGTAATCCAACCATTGATTACTCAGCCAATAAATGTAATTGGTCAGATGACTCAGTTGCATAGAAATGCAGTTTCTTAGGACACATCTTTGAAAGATTAAAATGGCCTGGCCTGTATTGGTATAGTGCTTTACTAGTCCCTAAGGACCCCAAAGCGCTTTTTACTGTAGAAAAAAATGGGACAATTCTCATTTCAGTGTGAATGACTGTGGTTTCACATTTGTAGAAATACTCCAGTGCAGCAGGAGAAACAACTATTTCATCCGCAGCATGTCTTTATCCTGTCTTCCTCCTCTCACCCCAAATGGTGGCAGCAGATGGCCCCGCCCCTCCCTGAGCCTGGTTCTTCTGGAGGTTTCTTCCTGTTAAAAGGGAGTTTTTCCTTCCCAATGTCACCAAAGTGCTGCTCATAGGGGGTCATATGATTGTTGGGTTTTTCTGTGAATGTATTATTGTAGGTCTACCTTAAAACATAAAGAACCTTGAGGTGACTGTTATTGTGATTTAGTGATGTTTAAATTAAATTGCATTGAACTGAATTGAATTGAAATTTGAGCTACTGAATTTGTAAATTTGCTCACTTCCAGACAAATGATATTTTTTAATTATTATAGTAGTTTCATTTCAATAGAAAGACAGAATATCAACCAAATATCCAGAAAAAATCCCTAAAACAGTTATAAAAAGATTTGAGTGAAATAAGTGTTTGAGCAAAACTTGACTAAATTCGGCCTCGGGCTAAATATGGGTTGATGAGTGCTCAGTTTTGTTTTGATTTGACCAAAGCATGTTTTCCCCACCCTTCTCTGAATCATGTTCACTGGCAAACTTAAAATGGGCCTGTAGGTCTATGTTGTTGAGCAGGGGGACCTTGCAAGTGCTGCAAGATTTTAATTAGTTATGGTGTAGTGTGTTAACAATAGTGCAGTTGGTGATTGTAATTGCCATCAAATCATTAAGAAGCTTCCTTCCGTGTAGTTTGGGCTGATCCAGTGTCTTCGTCTTTCTGAAATTTTGCATGGAGCTCCAGACTAAAAAATAAGCCAGTGGTACTTTTCATTTTAGATTTGTGTAGAAAATTTGCTCTGCAGACAAAAATTTGTGATACCAGATTCTTGGACACTTGATGTGATTTCAGAATCACAAAATTAGGCTGGAGACAAACGATAAACACAAAGGCTGAAACAGTCCAGTAAAATTACACTTCCATGTTTGCCTGTCCTGAGCTCCTTCAGAGGTCAGGCAGCTAGTCTCAGACTCCCAGTGCAAACATTTTAGAATTGCTGCCCTAAATCAAGAACATGCATTGTGTACATGAATGTGGATCATCATCAGCAAGCTTGCTTATGTTGTTCTCTGTCTCCATTTCACTCTTACTCACTTTTTCTGTCTTACCACACCTCTTTCAGACAGGTGAGTGTCCATATATGAATCACTTAGCCAACCATCCCTAAACTCTCTGCCTCTTGCTTACCATTTCGATCTTTATCAGTTAACACTGTTTTGCTTCCCTTGTTTCATCTGCATTTCCCTTTGGAGAGAAAAGCAGAGAGAATGGGGATGTATGGTTTCCAACACTGACTGGGTTGTGGTTGACTGGCCTCCTGTCCCACTGAAGCAGAAACACGATGATTTCTATACATGGCCTGCTGTTACCATGACCTGCTTTGAAGTGGAAGACAGAAGAAAAGAAGAGAGGCTGGGGAGAGGAGTGGAGGAGAAGAAGTGAAGTAAAATGGAGAGTAGGGAAGAGTAGAACCACAGGACAGGGGAGGCACAGAGGGGGAGGAAAGAAAGGACATAGGAGGGAATGAGAGAAAGAGGAGGAAAGGGGGAATGAGAAATGGAAAATCAGTAAATGGAAGGAGGACTTTAACAAAAAGAGACCACAGGGAAAAGGAGAAGAAACTGATTTGGTAGCAAAAGGAGAAATGTAGAAGAAAAAGTGGAAAGGACAGAAGAGAAAAAGCAAAGACAGATTTCAAAGAAAATATCTGCATAAAGGAGGATGATGAGGGGAAGGAGAGAGAAATGAAGAAAGGAGAGTAGTCAAAGATACATTTATTCATTTATTACTGGACTATACAAGCTCAGATGTATTTGGCAAGATTTTTGCTGGTGTTGAACCCTAATCCAACACAATTGCTTTCACTGCTGCAAACACCTGAGATGAAACCCTTCGGTAACTCCGACTGAGGGACTGTTATTTCTTCCTTCCTCAGGATTGAGGTCATTTCCTTCTCCAACAGCGCTCTCTCTGTGGCATCGAGGGGGGGAGCAGTGCGTGGACACTGTTGAAAGGTGGAGGCTCACAGTAGAAATGTGATGTGTGGCACTTCCTACTTCCTCATTATATAGTCTAAGCAGAGAGGGAAAGAGATAATGACATATCAATAGATGGAAAGGGGATGGAAAAAACAGCCTGTCCCTCTCATTGTGGGCCAGAAAGGGCGCTGTGAGTGCCAGGGCAGCTGCTTCATTTCTCTTTGTCTCTGGTGGCATGCACCTTGAGCTTGGGTGAAAACAAATGTGGTGTATGTGAACACTTCTCTGTCATTCGCATCGGTTAAATAAACTGATCCATTGTGCTTGTTTTGTTAATAAAATCTTTTTAGTGTTTTATTCTTTTACTGTGTTGAGAAGACCCAGCCAGTGAGCAGGTTAGGAGCCTCCCTTCAGCTCATCATTTGGAGAAAATTTCAACACAGTCTGAGCTGTTTGGCAAGTTTTGGTATCCGAAGAAAGCCAGTGGCAAGACGAAGCCCTGCTCGCCTTAAAATGACTGAAAATGGAACGCAAGCTTTTTGTTACAAAAGCAATACTGTATGAGAAAGAAATGTGACTTACAGTTTTAAAAAGATTATTTTCAAATATTACTTTAAAAGAACATTTATATATATATATATATATTTTTTTACATCTTTAGATAACAGCGATTTCCTGCGTTTACGTCTACTGATTTTGAGATATCCATTAGTCTTGAAAGGTGCAAAAATAAATTTAAGGCGTGCATCTGTGTTTCTCTTTTCAGTGGTGGTGTTGTACGTTCAAGGCCTGGGGACAAAGGAGTGGAGAGAGGTGAGTGAGGCACATAGGCAGCTTCAAGGTTTGTCCTGGGAAACCTGTTAGATCCACAGACTACAGTGTTTTAACTGTGCTTAGCTACAGTTAAAACCTTTGTCTGAAAAAGCACAAAAATCCTGATATTTTTTTGCGCCTGGTATGTCTGATTACAGAATTATACTAACCTCTTTTAGTTATCATTTGTTGACACGCGTGTACAGATTTCAGAGGTCTATTGAAGGTACCAAAAAAGGTCGATGTTCATATTGAGAGGGAAAAGAGAATGAATATTACAGTATCTATGGATTATCTGAAAAGAGAAATAACAGCTATACCACTATCAGGAAAACTTATATCTAACTTTTTTATCATGTGCTACGTTTTTTTGGCAAATCAATTAAACTCAAAATACAAGTTACAGAGTTAATGTCTCTGAAATCATAAATATACACACAAAAACAACAATAATGCAGTTACTTACCTTGTTATCATATGTGCTTTATTGACTTGGGGTTATTTTTAAATATCATGGTTATCCTTGAATAACATCCCTATTCCACACACAATGGTATGTATATGCGTCACTGACATCCAGATGTTTTGATGAATCAATATCCTTTGTGTCAAGACTGAATGCAGAAATGTAGGAAGTAAACTCTGGCAGCTGCTTTTGGTTTTTTAAAGTTTGCGGTCCATAAATGTAATAATCTCACGTGTCGCATAAATCAAAAACATGTTCTGGCTTTCAAGACTGCATCTGCTTTCCTTGGTTTACCTACTGCTTTAGTTTATTAACCCTTTAAGACCTACCATAGAACCAAGTCTGCCAAAGCTTATATTATATTTTTACATGCTGTAGTGCAAGTTGATATACATCAATACAACCATTATAGCCCAAATTTTAATAATATGTATGCATTAAGTGCAAAGAAATTACATAAATTGCAAGAAAGTGCAATAAACTACAAAAAAATTAAAATCGTTTTTGTTTTTTTAACATATATTTCTAGTTAGAGAAATTTAAGAGGCTTATCCCTCAAAACTGTAAATACAAAAAAGTTGCACAAAATAGTTTCCCACCACAGGAAATTTATTTTGAGTGTCTTCATATTTTTATTTTTGAAATACACCAATTTTTATATACTACAGGAAAAACGAAAATAAATATTATAATGCAAATTTGCAAATAACAGCATATGCATCAAAATAAACTATTTCCAACATCGCAATTTGACTTCTAAGCATCCCGGAAACGACACAGAAAGTCATAAAGTCAAAGATAACTTTTAAAAACACCAGTATAGGCTCATGAGGCCCTGATGGTAAAAAACTACATTTCCGCGAAAATGACATCACTTCCGGTTTCAGGCAGGTAATGGCAGACATGCGATAGTTCATGCTGACATAGGAAGTGTTATGAACAGCTGATCGGATCGGCAAAGTGTGTTTCTGGAATATTGTGTTTTTGTTGCTGCAAGTGCTTTTTATGCAGTTTTTGCAAAGCTTTATGTGGAAGGAAACTGTGACCGAGGACAAGCTGATGGCATAAGATGTAAGTACAACTCCTCCGGTTTCATATGCAAAAAAAAATTATTGCGCTAGCTTACGTGGTTGCAGTTCTACAAGGATTTAAAAGTAGTTGCGCAAAACGGAGCGTGCTGCTCTGACCGGTTTTAACACTTAGAGTCCTCCGAGAGCAGCAGTGCCCAGGCTTCTACCTTTCTACCTTTAAAACCTGCCTTCCAGCCAAATGGCTGGTAGGTGTTTAGCTAGGCTTTAGCTTCAGCCAAGTGGAAGCTAAATTGTCTAGTCATTCATATGTAAATTAGGTTGTTATCTGGGAATTCTGGAGGGGAGTGGGGGTGTGTGAATGAGGGGGTGGGGGAGCTGCTAAAAGCGGTGAACTTCCTTTTGTGTTTGTCTTGATGCATTCTCAATCATCCAGGGAAATAAATCTCCAAAAGTCACCAACTTGGAGTGTTTCAGTTTGCCATCTTAGGGAGAAATCAACACACATGGGTGTA